TAGTATGGAGTATCTTCTCCCTTTGATGACTGCATATAACTCCGGCTCAGTTTAACTGGAGTCATGTGCATGCTCTGAAGGGAAACATACCCATAAGTAAAAACAACGAGGAGTACTTGTGACACCTTAGAGACTAACAAATTTATTTGGGCTTAAGCTTTCGTGGGCTAAAACCCACTTCATCAGATGCATGGAGTGGAAAATACAGTAGGCAGGTATAAATACACAGTACATGAAAAGATGGGAGTTGCCTTACCAAGTGGGGGGCCAGTGCTAACGAGACAATTGAATTAAAGTGGAAGTGGGCTATTCTCAACAGTAGAATACCAATACCCATAAGTGTTATCAGCAATTGCAACTCTGGACCTTTAACATTCCACCTTTCCTGCAAGGAGACAGGCTTTCCCCCTTGTTTGTTTTACAGGAGCTCAGTTGTTTTCCAATGGAATTGACCCTGCAGGCCAGGAAGGATTTTAAAGGATCAGAGTGTACACATTTTGTAGGTTACTTTATTCACTAATGGATGGTTTTGAGAGTGTAATTGTATTTAGGTTGTAAAAGAAAAATCACATTATATTTCTGCAGACTATGAAATATCTGAAGGCTAAATGTCCCCGTCCCTCCCTGAATTTCTAACCTGGGTTACGTTGGCATTTTTAACGTTTGGGGTGCGTTCTCTCTTTGTGCATGTGCAATTCCTCTTGATAGGAATGGAGTGTCCTCTGTCTTTCAAGTCCGTATTCATGTAGCAGTCCTTACCTCACCCAGGTAATCCCATTGAAATCAATAGGACGTGAATAAAAACTTGAAGGATTTTGCCCACAGAGTGAAATCGACCCCATGCAGAGGACCAGTAGGAGGCTTAGGAACCAATTCATTCCTTAAGGGCTTACGTGTGACTTATGTGGTTCCAAGGCTGTGCTAGCTCTCTGCATAGGGGTGGATTTCACCTACAGACAGGAACACATAGACCCCATTTATTTCACTGCTTAGTCACTAATGCCTCAACCTGGGAAATGGACAGAGTTTTGCATCTACAGAGAGTGTTTCTAACACATTATGTAGAGATGTGTTACTTGTCTTTTTTTTTAAAAAAAAAAAACACTAGTTTTAAACATATGCAGTTTATTAGAGTGGGGTTTTTTTTCTTTTTTTTTAAGGGGGAAAATGGAACCTGGTCAATCACAAGCAGTTTCAGATTAGCAGCCTGAAGCCAAAGCTTTTTCCTCAATAGTTCAAATTCCCCATGAATTGAGGTTTGAAGAACCTCTTTGGGACATCTCTATATTTATCGGCCCTCAGCCCAATTTATCTCCAACAGGCACCTACAATTGCTGCAGCAGAGTGTCAGTATTACCTAATTGTGGGGGTCCTGGGCACTCTCAATTCCTTCAGAAGTCAACGGGAGCAGAGCCCATTCAGGATCTTATAAGATCAGGTGCTTAAAACTTTCACCTAAATTTTAATGCAACAAAATGTCAGTTCTAGTTTTACAAACTCATGATATCAGGGGTTTTTGTTGTCTCAAAGGGAAAGGTTCTCACTTAAATGAGATCACTTTAATGTTAACGACTACTCAAGTTAACCAAAGTTCTCTGGATAGCCACACCCGTATATAGATATCTGATAAATAAATAACAGCTGTATTAAAATGGCATTAGGAACACTTTTGCTGTACACTCAGGGTTTTACTTTCTATAATGCATTTCCAAATCACGAGGAAATCACTGGATGTGCCTTTTAAATTATGTGTAAAGGGCTGGTCCTAACATCAGGGCTCATATGAAACCTTGTGAGTAAGGCATAGTATTAATTAAGGATAACTTGTCTAGACAGCCACTTTTAGACAGTTCTGCACAATGTTGCCTTATCCTTGTAATGCTAATCCTTCTGTTAGCATTACAAAAACCTACACAAGAAGACAGGAGAGGTCACACACACAGGAACTTTGAGGTAACATGATCAGAGATGACTTCCTGTTTTTAACCTAACCAATTGCAGAGCTTGTGCAAGTGCTTAAGAAAATAAAAATGAAAAATCTTGAGGAAATGAACAAAAGCAAATCATTTTAAGGTTTGGATGTTGGACCAGCCCTTTCATGTTATGCCCCAGTAGGCATAGTACTGTTTAACATTTAAAATGTGGGTCTACAATCTGATACATTCCATAGCTCCACTTCACCACTGATACCTCCTAAGGAAAACACAAGTTCCCTATCTTGTCTACCAATCTCCTGTCCAGCTTGGCTCTGTCCCATTTAGTCTCACCTGCTGCTTCTCTCATCTCTAGATCTCCTGTGCTCTGCTATCCTTTTCTATTTTTTCCTTTTCAAAGTCTCTCCATTACCTAATGCCCAACATCATAGTCCAAGGGTACACTGACACTGCAATAAAAGACTACCGGCTCAGCCATGACTGGCCTGAGTCAGCTGACTTAGGCTCGCAGGACTCGGGCTGTGGGGCTAAAAATTGCAGTATAGATCTTCGGACTTGGGCTGCAACCGTGGCTCTGAAGCCTCGCAAGGGTGGAGGGTATCAGAGACCAGGCACAAGCCCAATCCTGAACAGCTGCACTGCAATTTGTAGCCCCACACACCATGAGCCCAATTCAGCCGACCAGGCTCTGAGACTGGGTGCCAGAGGTTTTTTATGGCAGGGCAGCCGTACCCCTAGAATACATTTAATGACAGCTCCCGTCAGTATCGGCGGCTGTGACGTTACGAGCCCCTTATTCTAAATCTGAGCCTTTGAAGTAATCTACTGAATCCACCATCAAATGTGGCATGATGCCTTGCTGTCCCTACCCTGTATCAGGAGTTCAATGCTAGTAGATTAGAATAATGTAGTAGGGCATGAAATTCTTCAGGCGTCCACATCCTTTATGTTGAAGACCCATGTTTTTAAAGATACATATGATATACAAACAAGACAATTCATTCTCAGGTTTGGCAGATAATTTAGTATTTTGACACAGATTTTGTTTTAAATTATTTATTATTCCTAAAACAATTTTAAATTTTGTTTGAACGTTTCTGTAGTTTGGCAATAGCTTGAGCTCTGGTTTGTTTATAGTGCTCCTCATGTGCAGTGTTCTTCTCTAAGATCTCAGCAGGTTCCATTTGACCAGTAGCCCAGGATTACTCATTCACTTAGAGCTCGATCCCCAAAACTCATACTCGCATGAATAGACCTTTTCTTATGAGAGTGGTCCCAGCGATTGCAATGGGACTATTTGTGGGTGAAATCCATTCCTGTGCAGCAGATCAGCACAAGTCACGAGGTCTATGCACCACTGACACCCTCAACAACTTTTGAGACTAAAAGAGATACATAAGCTTGATACTGGCCCTCTGCACGTGGCTGAATTTCACCCAGACATAACTCCACTGCAGTCTGTGAGACTGCTCAAGGAAGTAAGGAATAGTCATATGAGTAACAGTTTACAGGATTGGGCCCTTCCACAGCATTTTGGCAGAGTTTAGATGATCTACTGTAATACAAAACTGATGCTAAGGAAATTGCACCCTTCCTTACAGATTCTGATAAATTTATAAGTATTTTATGGGAAATATTTTACTTTGCATGAAAGTAAGTTTACATGCTGGGAAAAAAACGGCAGATCACTCTGCATGCAGCAATAGAGACAACATGCTTCTGGCATTGACATGCACATCGAGAAGGCAAAAAATGTCTAAGATAGGAAAAGGAAAAGGTAATGACTATAACAATTTACATGCCGTAATGCAACCAAAATATGCACAAAAGTATTTACTGATCTTTGAATCAGTATCTTCTAGTAAGATCTAAGAGGAAATATCAATCATTTTAGCCAGATGATTGCTACAAGAGAAGACTGCATTAATTACAGTGTTCATCACTGCAAATAAAGAAAATCTATTTTCTTTTTTGCAAGTAATAGATGTGAAATAAAAGCCTCATTGAATCTTGTATAAAACCTGCAGGTAGCCATTATTGTTTAAAAATGGATCTACATTTAAAAAAACATAGTATATCCTATCCCATTGACTATATCCATGAACTAAAATAAAAAAACAAAACTAAGCAAAAAAATTAGCAATAAAACATTAAGCTAAATCTAAATAATAATGCTCATTTAGAACAAGAACCTTCACAAACATAGCACAATTTTGTCTTATAATTTTTTTAATACTCTCTTTATACTTGATACGATTATGTCAATAATAGAGATTTGCTTATTATTAAGGGTTATTACTAAACATGCAAAATTCATTGCATGAAGCATATGCAAAATGTATTAAATTCCCTTCTACCAATAAAACAATTTTTAACTGCTTTTTCTTTCCCATATTCTACAGCTCCACGGGTTTTAAACCAATATTTAAAGTGGAGTTTAGACCAAAAAAACTCATATTTTTCTAAGTTACCTTGGGGAAAGCAGGAAGTGACTTTGAACTCCACACTGTCATTAAATTACTGCACACAGTGCTCTCCTCTACTACCCTAGTCTGCAGCCTACTAAATGAATAAGTGTGGGTGGGTTGTAAGGGGTTACAGTTCTGTTTCACATTCTGGTTAACAAAAGTTTTATAGCAAAATATTGGTATTAGTAGAACTGGCTAACAATGAACTTGAGAAGTGGTGTAAATTAAATTAATATAACTAACAATGGCACCCTGGATCACAGAATAATCTCATGGAGATTAAAGTTAACACAAGTATTATTATTTTTATTACTATTAAATATGCAATTTTATCCTTGAGCTAATATTTGTCCTGGGCGCTAGTTACCATCAGTCCTAAATATCTGGCCGCTACTGAAAATCTGTTTAAATTTGTGTCTGCTTTGTGCAATTGAGTCTCAAAGCCCAAGTGTCCAACATTATTTCATTAAAAAAAACCAACCTGGTACGTGCCCATATTTTTCTAAAAGCAATAGTCTTGAAACATTTTGCTTTGAACAATCTTACACAGTGCCCCTCCTCCCCTGCCGTTACCCCTCCCTTTCAGTCACTTGTGCTGTCATTTCATCAGGAGTCATCAGGAAGACCAAAAGGAAGAGTAGTCCCTCAGGGCCTACTGCTCACATTTCATGCTATCCACATTTAAGGGCTGAAGACTTTCCATTTTAAGGTGGGTTGTTTGTTTTTTCCAGCCTACTTGATGCTGTTTCATTCTTTCTAATACGCTTTTCCAGTGCCGGAGGGGAGGTGGAAAAGGACAATAGAAATTATGCAAATATATTAAAATATACCGAAAATGGCTAACTTCATAAGAATAACCCTACAGCCAGTAGTGTGAATAAATGGACACTATATATTACATGAACTTCTACTAAGACAACTTCTCTTTGTTGCAAAGCCAAATCCTGAATGAGTGTCCTTTTCCCTCCCCCTCCTCCTGTACTTTTTACCCTACAATTTCCAGGCCCAACTGGAACCAACAAGGCAAAGGCCTAAAAATTCTAGGGCAAAGGTCCATTTTCCACTGTTTGTTCATGTCTATCAGCTTCATACTACACTTAGTAAGCTCGGGTGTACAAACTGTGGGTTGATATAGGAGAACCCTTCAAAATCTGTTTGGTCTATGTTAGAAATGACCAGCTGATCAGGCGGTGTTAACACTGGTTGTCCTCGAGTAAAGAATTTGTCGAAGTTTTCAGCACCTTTGCCACACTAAAAGAGAAAAAGGGAAAAAAATAATATAATTAGATGAAAAAAACATCAACGACACCTACTGACAGTGCTGTCTCTTGTCTCATTCAGGATAGATATTGTGGGCTTCTCTCACGTTTTATCTTTACAGGTAGCTAGGACGCAATTTTCTTCCCTGATGTTAAAATATATGGCAAAGATGCAAGGTGAGGAGAAAATGAAAAATTTGTAACACATGGAGTAAGTAGCAGGATTGTGATGTAATGGAGTTCTTTTCAGAAGTACTGTGTGGCTCAGGACCATGGTACAAATATGAATGGAAAAGGTGGGGCAAACCTCCCCCTGCAGCTACTCAGGTAGATGGGCAATGGCTTTGTTCCACAGAGTTATCATGTGAGTAAAATTACTCATCTATATAAAGCTGAAAGCATGAATCTGTCAATTACTGGCAGCATTATATAGAAGCTTGGAAGGATTAGATTTTTAATCAGTAAATGTCAATTTCACCGCACACACAAACTGATGAAAAAATACTTCCATCGATAATAACTGACATTTACAGATAGGCAAAGTAAGAAAAATGCTGCTTGCCAACTCACGAGAGTTTAATTTAAGGATATTTACTTTGTATATTTTGACATGTGAGGTTGACAATTTGAGTTTCAACGGTGATAAAGCTTTCACTTTTTATATCTCGGTGTCCGCTGTCATTAAATAATTATTGTCTGAACCCCCAATGGTCTGATGCACCATAATTTCCTGCAACTGTGAACATTTAAATATGTGAAAATAGGAAAAAACACTTTAAAATAAACATTGATATTATCTGTCAAAATGGTAAAAAAATAAAAATTGAATTCTGCCAAGCCTAGTTCTACAGCATGCACTTGACTATGAATTTTGACTGCCAGCTTTTTTTCAGCTGGACCTCGCATGAGTACCGGTATGTCACTGTTCACAACTATGCACTTTCTTAATACTTGGTCTTGCCTCAAAGAAAAACTAACCCAAATTCATCATAACTCCCATTTGGAGAATTGAGAGACTAGCTTGTGTTGAACCTGAGCAGACCCCTTTGTAAATTAAGCCTGGAGGATTTCTATCCCGTTTGTTTAGTAGGTACACTTTTAGCATGCTATTTTCTGGGTCTCTAAGAGTATGTCTACACTGCAGTTAAAAACCTGTGACTGGCCTGTGTCAGCTGACTTGGGCTCGTGGGGCTCAGACTAAGGGGCTGTTAACTGCAGTGTAGAGGCTTGGGCTGGAGCCTGGGCTCTAGAACCCTGCAAAGTTATTGAGATGATACTGAATTCTAAAGCAGCTGCCGATCCTGAAATCGGCTCTGCAAGACATTTATTCCAATTCGCACGTCAAGACTATATGAGATTTCTTAGATAACAGAAAGATGGAGAGCCTGGAGAGGCAAGTTGTGTCTGCCAAAGGAATGAGTTATAAAGGCCCGGAGTGGAGATGGCTGGACACAACTGGTTCTATTTCACAGATAGGGAGACCTCTTCTCATAAAGGCCAGCAAAGAGGTATAGTTGTGTATATAAGCTCCACGCAGAAAGCGATTGAGTCAGAACAGAAACATGAAGAGCTCAGTTGTCATGGAAAGGTTGAGGGCAGCATTAAGGAGGGCAGAAAACACTCAGAGCAAAGCCGCATTACTGGCAAGTAAAAGGGGATGGAGGAATGGAACGAGCACAACAAAATTAGCTTGGCTGGAAGAAACTGAGTGCACGCTCGGGTAATACTGGACTTTGTATCCTCTGGAGAAGCCTAAAGGAACTTAAAAGCAAATCAGGTTCTCTCAATGATGTTAGTGGTACAGTGCTATACAGGTCTTGCATCTGAAGAAGTGAGGTTCTTACCCACGAAAGCTTATGCTCCCAATACTTCTCTTAGTCTTAAAGGTGCCACAGGACCCTCTGTTACTTTATACAGGGTGGTGTGTGCCTGTACTACAAGCCCTGTGAAAATGTCTTCCCATTATACCTGCTCCTTTCCTCTCTGCTAACTTCTGTAGGGTGTCTGCACTACTTTACATTACATTTAATGGGACTGTTTGCATTCAGCCTTCAAGGATGATATACCACTATGCACCCCCTTCTAACCTGGGAACAGATGGTTCATTTGAAGGTCTCGTCTGCATTATCTAACACTAATGCAAACTGGGGTAGGGTTGAAGAGGAGTAGAGGGAACTCAAGTGATCAGATACACGGTCCATATGCTACTTTGGACACAGTTCACTTATACCGTGTTCCCAATTATCTTGTAGAGCACCTCGCAGAAATAATAATAGTAATAAAGTATAAGCAAAGCTGCAAAGAATTTTTGCTGTCTTGGGCACAAGATGCCTTATGTTTTAAATAAAAACTGCATGCGCAGGACACTGACTCTAGTGTTCACAAGGCTATTGGTTCAGTTTATTACCAACACAAACAGAAAAACACTCCAACCGGTTAAAGAGTTAGGTTAGTTTGCTTATCATTTCACCCAGCGTTCTGAATATGTGCTCACCGAATACCTCGATGCCCACTGAAGCCAGTGAATTTTGGTACAGAAGTGCTGAAGAACAAGAATGGACAATACTGAATTTTGGTGAAGGGTAAAACTCTCCATCTTCAGAGTTGTGAGAAAGCAGGCATGTACCACAATTAATAACCATCAAATCAATCTAGAGTCCTGGCAATCAATTCAAAGCAGCAGTAAAGGGGCTTACTTACCAGTGAAACTTTTTTTTTTTTTTAAAGATCTTTGACAAATGCATCTTATGCCTCCAAAAGAAAAACGGATGCCCAATAAGTTCTTTCAGTCAATGGAAGCTCAGCAGGTGACGCAAAGATGAACCATTTAAATAATTTTATCACGGATAGTCTAACCACCTGCTTTATAAATCTTATTACCACAACATTGCCATAACTGAGACAACTCTGAAGAGTAAGACTGTTCTATGTCTTGATGAAAAATTCTTGTTTCAGTCACAGTTCCCTGTTGCAGAGGCTAGAATTAGGATATTCTAAACACACACAGGAAGGTGACATCTCCTTCAAGCGGCTATCAAAGATTGTTGGTCAAATACCAGTAAAACGGCAAAAGAATTTAATCTAGAACCTACAAATATTTTATTATTGGGTTGTGCTGGTATATAGCCTTCCTAAACTATACACTGTAATCAGAGAGGCTCACACTATTAATTATATTCCATGTGTGTTCTTAAACAAATTGCCACTAGCTGACATGAAGTTAAGTTTGTATTTAATCTACTGAAATGCAAAATATCTTATCTCCTCTGTCCCTGTATAAAAATTACTTGGACTTAAAACAAAAGGGAAACATTAACTGGCTTTTTTGTCTTTTTGTTTTACATGAAGTCTAAAAAATGTCTCCAAATAATCTTTTCCTACCCTCATTCATGAACAGCAACTACAGTATGTCATCATATAGCTTGTGTCAGATTTCTTAAGCCCTGTCTGTAGCAGATGCTTATGTTGATTCAGGCACACTGGTGGTAGTAACATTGGGAGTCCTTGGTTAGATAGGCCACAAACATTTTTAATGTTGCATCATCTGTTCCTTCTAAGAGCGAATCTAATTAAGAGGTTGTTAAAAATGCCTCTGGCACCCAGTGGCCTACACTAATGCTCCCATTATTGCTAACTTTATTGGAGCTCAAACAGGATTAGCAACAGGGGGAAATTTTGGAAAAATGTCTTTATTGTAGATCCCCTTTCTACTTTGTCTTTAGTCACTGAACAATAATTCTGCATCTGGCATCCAGATGAATCGCATTACAATCTTTATCACATTCACTATTGCTTGTAGTTTTCAAAGTGTAAAGTTATTTTCCTTTAGACTAGTTTTTGTTTCCTTTTAATTTCTGCTCTGACTCTTGATACATATTGTTTAAAATCTGCCAAGAGATTATCCTAATTTTTGAAAATGTAGTTTCTGAAACAGGGTTTTTCTTCACAGGTTTCTGTGTTGGATGGATGACCATTTGTGGATAACTTTCAAAACAAGCCTGGTGAATTGGTAACTGGATAAAAGAATTTTTCACAGGTACGGTACAAATCCATATCTTGCGTAGGTCTAGGTCATCCAAAAATCATTTCATGGCAGTTTGGTGGACTATGTGAAATATATTAGAGCTCTCAGACATGTTCTTGGTAAACAGGCCGTATCCAAAAAGCACTTTGCATCTGTGACAAAATGTCAAGTTGTAGGATTCTGCATGAAGCTGAAGAACTATCCCTCTGATGCAGACACACACAAACTCTTGGTTTGGAGTTAAGGAGACCTGCTTGGCCTGGCTTTCACCAGGAGGTCAGGCAAGATGAACATGATGGTCCCTTCTGGCCTTAAAAGTCTGTGAGTCAGTAGAACAGTCCTGCAGCTCCATGCAAGGTTTTAAAGCCTAAAAATCTCTTATAACACTCTTCCTGGCAGTATCAAAAGAAAGTCCAAGGAGAGAACAGGCAGTGGGGTTTGAACGTTCTTTTTCAGCCAATTCAGGTTTGAGGCAGGAGGTGCAAGATAGCCCATTCTGCATTCGTTCGATGGATAACTGAGGAAATCAATCCCCCGAGACTATCCAAGAGTCTGGCATCTTTCACAAACAACTAAATTCATTTAAAAAATAAGAAAAAAAGGCAGTGTATCTTCCCTATTTTTTTTTTGCAGAATATGACAGATTTGTGTATGTCTGTATGTAACCATAAACCCCATTGTTTTTTGTAAATGCTATTTTGATTATAAACTGTCTGTGCTTCATTGTTGCCTTTTAACTTCCAACTTGGACTTGGCTATCGTGGTTATTAGCAAAGACTCTCTGTGCCCCTAGCAGCGGACTAACGATGGAGAGCAAGCAAGAGTCATTAACATGAATGATCTTCCATTCAAATGGAAGAACCTTTAGAACAATGAGCTGGCTGCAGCCCAGAACAACCAGTGTCCCAGGTGGAATTTAACTAAGCAATGAATCACCTGACAAGGGACATAAAGCCACCTGGGGGTGTCACCTGAGAGAGGCTGAAACTTTGTAAAAGGACTTTCTTCAGCAAGGGGAAAGGAGACCACAGCAAAAAGATAAGGCTGGCCAGGAGGAAAGGAAGAATCCTGGACCTGCTAAAAGGACACTGACTAAGACTCAGAGGACTCTGAAGGGGTGAGGAAAATGAGTCAGGGATGTTTGTGCAGGCTTTGTTATTTTTCCATAGACCTCTATCTTTCTTGTGTTTGTCTATGGGCTTGTCTGCACTGGCCAGCTAAATCAGTGCCGCTGCGATCGATGCAGCGGCATTGATTTAGTGGGTCTGGTGAAGGCTCGGTAAGTCGATGGGAGAGCGCTCTCTCATTGACTTCAGTATTCCACCTCCCCGAGAGGCAGAAGCTAAGTTGGCAGGAAAGCGTCTCCTGTTGACACAGCACAGTGCAGACACCACATTAAGTCGATGTAAATTATGTCGCTTGGGGGGGGTGATTTTTTCACACTACTGAGCGATGTAACTTACATTGAGTTAAGCAGTAGTGTAGACTAGGCCTAAGAGTAAAGTGTAATTGGTTAAGAAGTTGCTCTGCGACGTGTGTGTGTGCTACTTGTTTTATCTGTCCCAAAGTAGCCAAAGGGTGAAAGGCATTCTTGTAGCATTTCTAGCTTGATTTTTAGACCAATGAGGTTGAAGGAATTCAGATAAGCACTGTGTACCAGTAGCCAGTGAATACTGGCACCTGTCATAACCTTCAGCTTCTTGCCAGCACTCCTGTATGTCAGATCCTTATTACGACTTGAGGTTTGGATGTTATTTTTTCTGGCTGCATTCCTTTTGCAGATAAATGACATACAGCACTGGAACTGGTGAGACAGAGTGTGGGAAACCAGTGGCAGGGACTCATCCTGTTTTAATATGGGTTTATCCATCATAAAAAGCTCAATGTGTAATATTAAAAAAAAAACCACTTTAAACATTGATATTGTTATTATGGATGTTTGCCCAGTACTAAAGCAGGATGGAAAAGACCCACTTCCTACACTGGAAGCTGCCAGTAAAATATCCCTTTTAGCAAGATATCAATCAGCAACAATAACCTGAGAAATGCCATTTTGTAATTAAACAGATTATTTAAAAATTCAGTTTACACTTTATTCATAATGAGGAGCATGTCTAACACTGTTAACTTTCAGATTGCAAGGATAAGCAAAATGGATGCAGATTTCCTTTAATAGTTTTTTCTGCCTAATTCTGTGATGTGCTCATTAACAGATTGCTGTTTGGCTGGTATAATTTACGTACAGAAGATGTAGTTTATGCATCAGGACTTAGTCAGGCAACTGTATAATCAAAGGCCAAACATCACTTTTAACTAACGAGTCTGTTTCTCCTCTTGAAGCACATGTAAAACTTCCATGAATATGTAATTAATAAGGATATTGCCTGCATAACATAGATATTAAATATGAGGATATTGCCTGCACAAAATAGACTCCCTAGCATATTATTTTCAATAATATGCAAAACAATAGCATGCATTTTAAGCAATACAATGGCTCAGACTTTAGTCTATTTATATGAACTTCACTCATTGTCTACTGTAAAAATGGTCGTACAAGTACTTTCACAGTGAAAATCTAAAATGAAATATGATTTTATTATTGTTTAGAGCATATAACATATGACTGACATTCAGTAGTAGGTGACATTGAATGAAATTTTTAAAAGTGCCTCAGGTACTTAGAGGTCTAAGTCGAATTGAAAGTCAATGATACATAGATTCGTAAGTGCATACGTCAATTTGAAAAATGGGACTTAGGTGCTTTTGAAAATTTTACCCATTGTCTGATACTTCCCTTGATAAATGAAGACTCAAGAAGTACCTTATTAATTAAAAACATACTTCTAGGAGATGTAGAAAGGCATAATTATACCTCAGTCTCAGGTAGTCAGGGAAAACTGACTAGTTTGTTCTATAGCCGCTTCAATTTTATTTTACTTATATAAATTATATGTTTGTCAAAACAAAAAGTTTTAGGGCATTTAAAAAAAATCAATGTAATATTTCAATATAGCTATATAAAAGCAGGGCCAATTTTTCCTCTTAGTTACACCAGTGTAAAAATATAACATGATAGGAACCTCTGTTATCAGCAAAAAATGTCCTATCCTGCAAGCCCACTTTCTCCTGGTTAGTCCCTTACAGGACTATGTGTATAAGTAAGAACTACTCGTGCAAGTGAAAGTTTCAGGACTGGACCTCAAGGAATTCCCTATTTCACTTACAACAGCCGCTTACACCTAGTAAGATTTTCTGCAAAATGACATAATTGAATCCAGCTTTACAAATACCTCTAGGCACTTATGAAGATGTTTTTATCCGAAAATCAATATAAACAGAATTAGTTACTAGGAGATGTTGGTAAACCAATAACCAGGGACACAAGATTTGGATTTAAAATGATTGTCTAAGAAAGTAAGGCAGCCACATTAATACTAGATTTATCTAGGTATGTTTCAATAGCAACCTGTATAAATAAAATAAGTCATAATCAGCAGCCGAGAAACAGCACAGCTGGTGATTAATCCCCTATTATGATATAAATAGGAGCTGTGATATAGCTTTCTGCAATTAAATGTGACATATTGGAATTAGATTGTATTTCAGCTTTTAGTACTTTACACCCTTTAATAAAGTTTCATATGGGAAACGTGGGTCTAGATCCTGGGAGGTGCTGAGGTTATTCTCCTTAACTTCAGTGGGAGTTCAGCACACTCAGCTCTTTGGAGGATCAGACATGCTGATACGAATGGAGATATGGTTTATTTTTAGCTTTAATTGTGACACAAACATTGCATGACGAAAAATGTACATAATTTGTGTCTGAAAAAGAGCAATTCCCCAGCTGTCTGCCAGGTTGGAGAACCACCAATGGTCATTAATAGAACCATGTGCGTTTCCTTACTTATTTACACAATTGTGTGTGTGAGACATTCACTTTTTATGATAAGCCTGACGTTTACTAGCCTCGTATATAGTTCTCTTGGTATGCAAGCACACCTCCTGTTGAGGTTAAAGTATGCATATTACTCTCAACAAGAGAAGACTATACATAGGTGCTGGAAATAGAGGTGCGTGGGGTTTCCATTATAAACAGGATTTACACCTTGGTTCAATGGCTCTCAGCACTCCCACTATAAAAACTGTTCCAGCACCTCTGAGAATATATGCTCTCCTTGGGTAGCACCCGCCCTCTGTTTACTGATCCATCTTTAGTGAGATTTACTGTAACATTCCAAACCTCTGAATAGCTTCAAACAGCTGCCACCAACTGGCCAGAGAAATGTACTTTTCTTTTCCATAAATGAAGAGTCTGCACCATCTCCCATCCAACCTCCCTGACCTCTAAATACAGAACACTGGCCCAAGGACCATGAGCAACAATATTCAGTCCTGCATAGTGGCAGGTTTGAGGTCTGATATCTTCTGACCCTGGAGAGCAAGAATTAAGCATTTTTATATTATTGGAAAGGGTTGATTCTAATGAAACACACAGCATTTACCTCCAGCCATGAAATGTACCCAAATATTAGATCTCACAGTAAAGGCAAGCTATTCAGGTCATTCGTTTATAGAAGAGTTTAAATCTAAACTAATTTATTTGGATTTTTCTCCTCCTCTGAGCCCTCTAGAGTTACTATAACATTAAAAAAAAAAACTTTCCAAAGCATTTCTAACATTGTTTTTCTATAAAACAAATAGCATATGCAGAAATACATGATAGCATGGTATTGTATAAAGCTTTGTGATGACCTATGTCACTCAAGGTTTCATCACTCTTGAGTAATGTGGCCATCCCAGACTCATGCTGATGAAACAATTCTAGCATACTGTCATGTGCTCCCCATCCGTCTGCATGGAGGATGATTACATAGATTCCTTTCATCTTGTTATGCTACTAAATAGAAACAAAACAAGTGTTCTAGAGGAGAGCTGCTACAGTAAGACATTTTCCAGGGGTCTCTGGCAGCTTTGACCTCCTTCTTCCTCAGATTTAACCTATTTTCTCTTTTGCATCAAGAACAAGCCTTTGTTTATCAATCATGTTACAAGCTGAAAGAAATTCTGAGCTGGATGACAAACACTACTTCTTCTTCAAAGTAGATTAGACTTACTGTACTCACATTAATTAAGGGATCAATTACTTATTTGGATTTCTAAAACTGTGCCTATCCAATGATCCAGATACGTGCACATTACACAGTAACACACCTTACACATAAATCAGATTGATTATAGACTCTCCTCCACTATGGACATGGCAGAAGTCCCGAAAACCACCCTAGTAAATTGCCCATATCCCTTCATTAATCTACCCTCTTCTTGAAAACCTTGGGAGAGAGAAGAGCCTTGTGGCACACCTGGAAATTCAACCAACTTGGACTCTGTCAAACCAATATGGGAAGCACAGTCCGAAGTTGAAGCTATTTAGTGAAAATACCCCAGCAGTTATACCATGGGCTGTCAGTTCAAGTGTTCAGTGTAATAGTTGCCATACCACAAAGAGACAGGCAATTTCTCAAGTAAATAGGCAACATGCCATTTAGAGCTTTCCAGATTAAAACCTAGCTCAAACTGAAGCCAGTGCAGATCACAGAGCAACAAGTGTTGGGTGCTCCTTGTGGGGAAACCCCATCAAAAGTACGCAGTCCGCTGAATTGTGCACTGGATGAGGTTTCCGAATGGTGCTCAGGTGTAGCTAACATTACGGTAATGCAATTCTGAGCTGCAAATACACGGATAACTGATAAGGCCTGTGTCTAAAAGAATAGGTCACAACACTTCAGCCAAACACAGATAGAAAGCATTAAGGAAGTAGGGATTTTATTATACAGAAAATCTCTGCAAATTGACTCCCATTTAGTCAACTGTGTGTTTTCACGTAGCACAGCTATATTAAAGGCTTCCTATCAGGAAATCAGCAATAATTTTGTGGCATGTTTGATCATGCACTACCTACACTGGGTTATGCTAGAGCATGGAGTAGTACTAGTGACACTGCATGGCAGTCTGTCATAATCCAAGTGCTTGATTTAAGAAATGTCACACCTTTTGGGATACAGCTGTCTTGCAATGCCATCAAGTTGGCATTAGCCTCATACCACAGAGAGGCTTGACTGCAAACAGTGCATTTTAATAGGGAGACATCCTGCGTCTCACTCACCACTTTAGGCTTGAATGGCGGCTGAATCTCTCTGTTCTCCAGTTTCTCCCAGTCGATTCTCCTGAAGAATGCATGCTCCCTGACATCTCGCTCCCCCTCAGGCCCACAGCCAAGCCTTTTTGCAGGGTGTTTTGTCATTAACTAGAAATCAATAAAACACCAAATGATTAAATTGACTTTTGGAAGGAAAGAGTAACAGACTGTCCACAGGTGGAATTGTTTTTGCTCCTCATGTCAAGATGTACCTCAGCAATAAAATCCGTGTGAAAAGCTATACTTTATTTTTAAAGTGTTAATTTCTTTATTTCAAAGCTAGAGATTGCCTGTAGGCACTGCAAGTAAAGGCCACTCTTTAAACCCCGCTTTCCTCTTTCGTTACACAAAGGTTACTGATACGGGAACACATTTAGGCATGGTATAGGTGGGCACAATGGAATTACATCTCCATCCATCGTGTCTGAATTCAGCTCTTGTTACCATTACAACGCAGCCTTATACATATCCAGAACAGGCTCTACTCGGCTTCAGCAATCAATTAAACTGGATAAATTCCATTACACTGAAACATTTAAAGTACAAGTTTCCTATAATTTTTCTGAGCGTGTTCTGGATAGCGCTTGTCATTTTTTTGGCAGCCTCCTGACAGTAACTAATCTGTGCTTCTCCTCTTACATCCTTAATACCAACTTGATCAATATTAAATACCAGCTGCACAGAGAAACCACACTCACAAAAAGGAGCAATAATGCACACTTATGCGCAGTAATGTGCACCCTAATTAGCAAGCTCCTCCATGGAGATGAGCGGTCAATGAGTATGAGCACTGGCAACTAAGGAATGCAGCCCTCACCCAATATGATGGGACTTCTGGAATCTTGCTTTATTCTAGTACAGTGGGTGCCATTAATAAATGAGCATTTACTGCATTTCCTTATTTAATGTTACTGTAATATTTGCCATATTCCCTATCTACAGAATGGGAAATATAAGGAGTGGGATAGTTGTGATAACTACTGCAATAAAACTCTTTAACATTATTTAATTGCACACATTAATAGCATTAATAGCAATGAATGTATAGCCAGCATTTTAAAAAAAAAATCGAGCCTAAAGTCAGACTCCTAAGTTTGTATATAAGACAGATAAACAAGTAGCTTGATTCCTTACGAACATGATTAGCTTTGTGACACTTACGGAGCATCCTTTAGCCTGAGGACTGCAAAGGGCTTTAGAAAAGATATTGTGAAATGCAGCCACTTCTGGGACTGGGAGTGTCACTAATTCACATAAAGGGCAATGCAAAGAGTAAGGGGGAAAAAAGCCAAGTTTGGCTAAGGACACTAGGACAAACTAGGATAAAATAATGAAGTGTTTCTTTTTTATAAGGAAGATCCGACTTGACCCCAATAGGATTTGAACCTGTGGCAGAAGGAGGGCTATGTAATTTCAATCCTGAGATATAGACATTTATGCCATTCCCCTGCTATGTTGCAATAGCCTTGGATTTATTGTGATAAATGAAATATCTTTTCATTTTCTCAATGATTTTATCTTTAAATAAAAAAATGGAGTCAGCTACAGTACTACATATGCAGTTCCAAAGGACACTCTGAAGTGGGGAAGTAGATACCAAATTCATTGTCTATTTAAATGCACTAAAATTTTCATCCAGGTGAAGAAGTAATAGACATCTAAAATTCACATTCTGGAAGAGCTGCAGAAATGAGCCGCTCCAGGGAATGATACTGAGTCAGGAAAAAGTCAACACAAACTTTTCTTTGCTAATTCTCTGCAGTCACATCAATGCTCTGCCCCAAACCCCCATTAAAATAGTCTACAATCAGAGATGACCTTAAGCCACAAAGCTTGGACCTGGATCAGAATTTCCTCACCACTCACTGGTGTTTAGACTGGAGGTTTTCGTTCAGGCTAATTTCTATCTAAATTCTAAAATGACTCCTGTTAATCCACTGTTGTTTGCAGTGATGCTGTAGCCATGTTGGTTCCAGGATATTAGAGAGACAAGGTGGGTGAGGTAGAATCTTTTATTGGACCAACTTCTGTTGGTGAGAGAGACAAGCTTTTGAGCCACACAGCTCTGTGTAAATTGATCCAATAAAAGACACTGTCTCACCCACCTTGTCCCTCCTGTTCATCCCTTCAGTTCTTCCTATCAGGTCAAACACACAGGGCCCAGTGCTGTAGTGTGCCTCCTGCAAAGTGCTGTGTACTGTCAGCTCCCATTTGGCATCAATTAGAGCTGAGATGGCTTGGCACCTTGCACGATCTGACTCACAGCGTAGACAATTTAAGAGGTGGGAAAGGCTCACACAACCACCCTGTTTGTAGCTTCTGCTTTGTATTTGGCTGCAACGGATTCTGAAATCTTTTCCTACCACAAACTAAACATGCACTGCAGAAAGAGTTGACACTCTTGCAGCCCTGGCCTTTGGCAGAGACCAAGTGAGGATGCAGGCGATCATCCATGTTATTTGCCTAAAAACCGGGCTGGACAGTGTTTATATTTGGAAAAGCCCAATGGTATAAACTCAGTCAAACTCCACAAACTTTGGTTATTTAACACACTCTGTTGAAAAAGGCATGATATAGGCAACAACTTGCTTACCCCTTTGCAGATAGAAACAGCTTCTTTGGACAGCGATTTAGGATAGGAAACATTATGCTCCATTATGGACTGAAAGAGTTCATCTTCATCCTCCCCATCAAATGGAGGCTGTTCAAGGAAAATAAAGGAGGTAAAATTATGTGGTGTTAATTTTAATTCCCTATAAATGTTATTTATTTACTGAAAAGCAGATACATTATTGAGGAGTTTTACATTTACAACGTACTTGACAATTCTGGTTATCTTTAATTAGATCTTTTTAAAGTTACCTTGCTGTAGTCATCCTAAAACAATCTAATCAGTACATGTTTTAGGCCATTACTTTCTATGACTTTGATCTAAAGTGTCATGTAATTCCAATGATGCTCCCATTTGATTTAAAGGTAAATAGTGTTTCTGTGAGGGGAAGACAGTGTAAGAAGTATGGGCTACATGTGTGTTTAAAATATGGTGTGAGGATGAAGAAAGCCAGCACAAGATCCATGGGAACTGCTTAAGTCCCACATAAACCCTGAACTAAGAGTTTAAGTGGGACTTAAGTTTTGCATAGGCCTTCTAGCAGCCCTTTACACAGGGGTGAATATCACCCAGAAAGAACACTCCAAAAAAGAAAGCACCACTTAGTTATAAAGTACAGAGACAAGAACTCATGCAAACAGATAAATGTTTACAGATTGCTGGGCCTAATCTTATGTTTTTTGAAGACATATTCAAGACAGCTATCATAATTAAAACAAATGTTGATGCATTTATCTGCAAACAAATCTACATCTTCCAAGAAGCCCTGGAGGAATTACTTAGCACTTACTGTAAATGCAGAAAATCCTAATAAGATAATGCTCTACAAATGACTTAAGACTCAGTAAATACACAAGTATATCAGACTTCCTCAAGAATAAGGAAACAAGAAGCTGGGATCTCCCAACGTTATCCGACACAGCGGGATTCTACATTTCTAAATTCTCCAATTTATTTTGAATTATTATCAGTAATTTTGGTGGGTGTTTACAGGCAAACCCAAAATTGTAGATAAAGCCACAGAACTCATCTGTAGAACACCAGACGTTTCAGTACTGTTAAATATCTTAAGATTCTCACACACCTTTTCTCTGTCATAAAATACAAAAATGTTGAGGCAACAGAACAATCTGCAAGTAACTGGAGATGACCACAGACCAGACGCACAGTGATCTTGGTAAGAATTTGAAAGGAAAAAGAATACAGGAACAGCACACAGTATTCAGTTGTTACACAAGAAGTCAAGAAATCTACTGGGACTTAGCCTGGGAAGGAATAACAGAGGCTGGCTACATACTGTAAATATAGGAAATTCTGTGGTAGCTTCAGCTCACTCTCTCAGGAGAATCACTTACATAAATCTTCCCCACAACACGAGAATACCAGAGCTCTTTAGAGTTGGTTTGTTATCTTCAACTAAACTTTGCAGTCCAGGACCTGCTTTTCCAGTTGTGGAATTTGGTGACTAGAATCCCATCACGTGTGTAGAGAAAGGGCTCTGTAATCAACTGTCGTTTGAGCAGCAAGCCCTGGGCTTTGCCCCCATGCACACAATACAAAAATACTGTCAGGATTCTGTGCCTTAACTTCCATGAAGAGTATCTAAAAACTCTGCTATTATGTTTCCAGGGGTTTTCTCCCAGTTGCACAATACTTCTTCCATTTATTATGCACTGCCTTGTAAAGTTCCTCTCATTAGATTTTGAAGAATAGCAGCAATATAATTCTTACCTGACCAGCTAGCATCTCGTATAACAGCACACCGTAGGCCCACCAATCTACTGATTTTCCATAGGGCTGATAAGCAATAATCTGTGAAATAATGAAAATAAAAATTCCTGTGTTAAATACGGTCAGTGGTGAATGAAATAAACATCGACTTATGGAGACAAATACATGCCACTGAAATGCATAGAGAACCCAATCCTGTCATCCTTAATAAAGCCAAAATCCCACTTGAATTTATGTATCTTACAGAACAGGATCCAGATCCGTGTGCTAGAATTGTACGGCCAGATTTACAAAGGTATTTAGGCACCAAAAGATGCAAATTGGCACCTAGAAGTATTTACCAAAGCACCTAAAGCAGGTTAGATGCCTAACTCTCATTAAAGCCAATGGGAGTTAAGTGCCTTTGAAAATCTCACTAGGTGCCTATTTGCTTTTTTAGGCATCTAGATACCTTTGTAAATCCGGCCCTTCGAAGATTCAGGATGCGCTTTTGAAAATAATGAAGCAGGTAGAGTAATGCTACACAGAAGACCAGAATGATTTCATCAAGCCATTCATATTAAAGAAGCAAATCATCATCTGCACTTTATTCAGAGGGTATCAACAATTCAGAGTTTAATTTCATTACTCTGTAATATTTACATTTTGTCCCTCTCTAAAAACAGGCAAAAATCCCCAAAGTATGAGCAAGACCTCTGAAAATCTCAGCTTTGTTTTACAATGCTACACAATTCTCATGCTCTTCGTCTGAAATCAGGAAACCAGTTATGCCAACAGGAAAGTGGTTTCTGCCATTCAGACTAATGACAATTTCCAAGTATTTTGCACCCAGGGTTTATTTTAAAGGTGCATTGGAGCATACAGTCGGTTACAGTCTCAGCTCTAAATGCCATTTCAGTTTAACATCATTTGTTTGTATCTTTACTGTTATCGATTTCTAGTAATTCTGAAGAGATTACCTGTCCCATTTTTTTCCAGTAAAGGGAATGTTCTGAAACATTCTTGGATATTTTTCCTAGAATACAGGTCTCTCCTATTTAGTTTGGGGGCAAGTCTAGTTGACCCTGAAACCATAATTCGTCTATTTCAGAGGAATAATCAGACAATGAGATATTGTCCTTTCACCATTAAACATTCCTTAATTTAGTCTCCTTTTCCTGCTACCATGTGTTTTTCATTCTCTGTGAAACAAATTGCTAAGACTAGTGCAGATCACACACCCTAGGTTCTCAGCAGTCTGGTAAAGGAATTAAACCGGCTATCTGTAAGGAAAACATTTAATTATCAGTTCAACGAAACAGCGCTACGTAGCCACTACACAAAGACTACAGAACCTATCTGAAAATTATTGTCTTCACTAGGGTAATAACAGGACATGATCTGGAAGTTAGCAGTCTCTCTCTCAGCAAAGAAACTCAAAATAAGTCATGCTCTGAAATACATTACTCATGAGTTAGCAGCTGCAATGAGTATCTAAGAACATCTAAATTACAATGTTTGTATCTTAACTTTACTGTAGAAAACGAATTTTTAGAATACAGTGTATTTTTTTTCCTCAGTGGTAACTGCTATTAATATCAACCTCTAATTAAACTAACAATCTAGAAAAAATGGAGAAGAATTTTAAAGAGCTCCTTTTAAATTGTGGGGAAACGTGTAAATCACTGTATTTAAGCTCGGAAAACATCTAGTGGTCAGAGCAGGGGACTGGGAATCAAGACTCCTGGATTCTATTCCCTCACTTTGTATAGTAGACCATATGTCATTTGTGTTTTCTGTACCTACCTCCTTCTCTATAGTTAGGCATAATGAAGTTACTGCTGGTACAACGCTTTAAGATTCCTAGATGAAAGGGGCTACAAAAATGCAGACTTAATTTTACAATTCTTTTGCAATTATTACATATACTGGGCCTTATAACATACATTTGGGGCCACCTACTTCCTGTTATACTGGTTGACAGATTTGATTACTTTCAGTGTTTTTCCACTCACCAGAAAGTTCTCAGGGGGTCTACTTAAAATCAATGTTGCTACTTCAAAGAACAAACACTTTCAAAATTTCAACCAGAAAAAAGGACTGGCCTTTATACATAAAACATGTTAAAAAATACCTCACTGTACTGGAAAAATCCCAACCCTATCAGACAGTGTTTTCATCCACGGAGTAATGGCTGTATTTTTAAAAGGTCGTTAAAATGCAAGGACAGAATATTTTTTTACAATTAGTATGTTTCCCTGCAAGGAGCCTAATGTACAGATATTTTGTAAACTGAAATTAGAGAATGAAAAAATTATCAGATCCATGCCATAGAGGGGGCAAAATCCTTCGAAAATGTCTATCCCATGGGTGCTTTACCTGGGGGTCACAAATAGGTCCGGGGAAGTTACAACAAACTTCCCTTTCTCCATGGCCAGATGGCGTGGGGTGGGAGAGAACAGAACATTTTTGCTATTTTACATGGGGTTACGGTATGGAAAAGGTCAAGAAACACTTGTCTGCTGATTTTGACTGTTCATTTACCCTGGGCAACGGATAGCTAAGTGTCCTCATCCTTGAATATGATCTTCCAAAAACAAATCTAGCTTTAGAACAGGAGAGTCTCAAAGAAAGTCAGACACAATCAATGTGAAATATCATAGTCCCTCATTACCATAAAATACTGTTAGAGACTCACAAGAGAACTCAAACTGTTTTTGTGCTGGTCTTGTCAGAGGAGCAGGAATACCAATTAGATATTGCACGTCAGTAAATTTGTGCCTAGGACACTGAAGAAACTATGCAGTATCTCCTCACTCCAGGAATGCTGAAAGAGTCAATAAGATGCAGGTAGGATCAAAGGGTGGGATTTATAAAGGCACCTAAGGGCAGGTCTTCACTACCCGCCGGTAGTGATCGATCTATCGAGGGTCAATTTATCACGTCTAGTGTAGATGTGATAAAATCGATCCCCGATCGCACTCCCCGTCGACTCCGGAACTCCAGCTCGCGAGAAGCAGAAGCAGAGTCAACGGGGGAGCGCAGCAGTCGACTCGCTGCCGTCCTCATGGCCAGGTAAGTCGACCTAAGCTACGCCGACTTTAGCGACGCTATTTGTGTAGCTGAAGTTGTGTATCTTAGGTCGACCCCCCCCCCGCTAGTGTAGACCTGGGCTAAGGGAGACAAATTCCATTGAAAGGGACTTGGCTGCTCCTGTAAAATCCCACTCAAAGTGCTTATTAAACCCTCTCTCATTGAACCCTGGAATGTGGTGTCCCAATTGGTTTTATCCTGAGAAATATGGTTTCACGTTTAATATTAGAACTCACTTCTTGAACCTGTGGAATTTTCTTGTATGTATGTATGTATGTATATATATGTGTATAGCTCAAAGCCACCAGGAATTACTGGCACAGTGAAAATAAAAGGGTAATAATGTTTTCCCCTCAAATGGGGAAATAAACCTATGGATGCCATGATGATGTAGAACAGGTTGAATGATACATTTGTTGCACCTTCTGGACTCCTCAAAAGATTTTAAAACAACAACAACAAAACCCTAACCCCCTAATTAAGTATGTTCCATGTGAATTACTAGCTAAATTCTAATATAGGTTTATCGATATGGTAAAATTGAAATGCAAAAGAGTAACCTGCCATGTTAATTTGCTAACCTGCCAATCACTCACAGAGAAACTGGCAGCTTGGTTCACACATAACAAATTGAAGCTATTCAAAGCATTAATTGGGAAAGTAATGGGAAAAAATCTGGACTTCAAAGAAGGGCAATAATTTGTGGGGGCAGGGAAGGAGTGCAGTTATTTTGGTTCAGGTTGTGCAAGATATGTAGGGAAGGTTCTCGGTTTTTTGGCTTTACAGTCATATAAAAGTCAAACTGTCAATACTCACTCACCAATTAGTAATTGTACCCCATTGTCCTGGACACTGTGCACACACAATAAAAGGACAGGTCCTTACCCTTAAGAGAGAAAAGTCCTAAAGGAAAGCATATTTCCTCTAAAGGGCTGAAACTCTTCATCACTGGATGTAATCTGGTGAGTGTGAATGGACTGCTGTAAACTGCAAACGGCACAGGGTCAGTACTGAAATGCTACTATTTTGTGCCTGGGCTAGTTTCCTGCTTCACTGTAGAATCACGAACACTTAAAATGAATTAGTTCAATATTTCAAGTAACTCCCTCCTTCACTAAATTCTTGACATTAAAATGGTTGTGTACTGTGAGTCCATTGCCACATTCTGTCTCAGGCCTGGCTGCTTTTCCATGGTAGGTGAAAAGATCCCTACACAGTGTGTGAATTCTGGGATCCTTTTGGGTACAAAGTGAAATATAAATACAAATGATCCAATAAAATGACTGCTACTGCTATAATAAATTCAGCTTTTAAACGGAATATGTATCCCTGCCATAAGCAACAGTCAAAGCCCACTTTTCCAGCACTCAAAATAGTTATCAACCTGCCATACTCCTGGCAGATACAAGTTTGGTTTGTTTGTTTTTTTACATTAAAAAAACCCATTGTTTTGGGGTTCTCTCAGAATTAACCTTTCAGTCACTGCAAGGATTCTAACTCTTGGGATTTTGTTTTGTGCCCAAGAGAGAAGTTTGTGCTACAAGCGATTGGAAACCCTTTCTTATTGATACTGGTTTTGACATCCATCTCCCTCAGTCTCTGATGACCAGCCAAGGAGATACTGCAGTATTAGTCAATTTCAAGGTTATTAGACCAATACAGCCATAAATATTTATATTTCAGCTCAGGCCAATAATGAAAATTCCATACAGGATAATCAGTTTACTCCTGCCTGACAGAATTGGCTGCACCAAGCATACAATTATTTTAACCTTTGCACAGTTCTCAAATCTTGAACCTATATGTTTAAAAATACCCACTTTGTCCAATGTGTACTATACATGAGCTAAAAAAATGATGCAAAATTTCCTAAGACAAATAAAGGAAACACATTATGTTACAGTACCGCATTCATTCTCAACCTGGGAATTATGACCCTTCCCTCCCCCAAAGAGAGTGGGGTCATGAATAGGTATCAGGGGATCATGACTATCGTGCCCTTTCCATATTGCTAAAGGAGGGTGGGGGAGGAGGGAGGAGAGAGGGAGGAGAGTGGCGATGGTCCATGGAATCCTGGCATGGAAAACGCTGGTAATCACTGCAGTTACGGAAGAACCAGGCATAAGAGTGAATTTGGTCTCATGCTGGCTTCCCCGTAAGGAGAGAAGAAATTCTCTGGACCCAAGAGGGTGCAGTGTTTTTGATTTTTAAATTCCTCATTCTATTTTTGCATCTCATCCCTCCAGAAGCTTTTCACAGAAGCCACTCCCAAGATGGTTGGATGATTGGTCCCCTCCTCTGCTGAAACCACTATTTCCCTCTTTGACTGACTGGAAATGGGAAGATTTAAAATCAAAAGTCTCCCATGAGAATTCATCTTCATATTTATAATTTTGCTTTGAATTCAATTAGGTTCTATTGCTGAATATATAAAGACACTTTGGATGTATCTGATACATTTAAGTTATAATCTACTGTAAAATCTAGACCACTGGGAGGCCTTAGAACAAACATGCTGAAATTCCTTTGCCAGCAAAAGGGAATGAGATAGTATGTGTCTTGGTATTCTTATGCATTATTTGTATTACCCTAGTGCCAAGGTAGCTTACCACTGGTTTATACTACAGCTGGGATTGACGCTCTGAGATTGATCCACCGGCGGTTGATTTAGCGGGTCTAGCAAAGACCAGCCAAATCAACCGCAGATTGCTTTCCACTTGACCCCTGTACTTTACCCCCGACGAGAAGAGCAAGGTAAGTCGACGGGAGACCCTGCGGTAACTCAACCTAAGGTACGTCGACTCCAGTTACGTTATTCATGTAGCTGGAGTTGTGTAGCGTAGGTTGACTTACCGCGGTAGTATAGACATAGCCTTAGTCATAGACAAAGACCCCATTGTTCTAGGCGCTCTACAAATACAGAAAAAGACAGTCCCTGCCCCCAAAGACCTTACAATTTAACTCATTATGCACCTTCAATTCCCTCCATAAAACTTTTCTCTGCTGTGATGCCTATAAAAAACTTGACCTGGTTAGGCCACTGGTGCACCAATACCACTGCCTTGCTTCGAGGCTCATCGCATAGTTTTAGATAACAATTCTTCCTCCAGTGTCATGTCCTCAGAAACTAAGGCAAAGCAGTTGGCTGAAAAAGACACGCATGCTCTGAAATCTAATATATACAAATAGTATTTCCCCCCAGTTACAGAAAGCTGTGGTAAAAGGACAATTTCTTCATATGAATTAAAGTGAAAATGCACCATTTCAACTGTACATTGACCATGTTTTCTCTGACTTTAGCTGGCACAAGACTATCACCCATAGATATGGCACTATCTTCTTTGTGTTCTTTGCTATATTGGCTTCATTTGCATTTGATGGGAAAAGGTGAAATGCTGACCTGGGTTATTCTGATCTCCTGCTGCAAGTAACAGCAATTTATGAAAACACAAGGTCTGTTAACATTTCACATAGGTACAGACTATTAACTGTGAGAAGAAAACAACATGTCTCACTTGCAATTTCACGGAAGTGACAAAATTCACATTATACAATAATGAATATTCCCCCCCACATATAAATCGTATGTGCTTTAACAAACATTAAATTATAGCTGGAAATGCTCCAATCAGAGATGCATTTTAACTAGTGTTCAGTAAAATAGGCTGCCTTTTGGATCAGGAAGAAATTCCTTTACCCAGAGCCATAGATCTAATGATGGAGATGTGGATTGTGGCTTCAGAGTTATGGTTGTGTTGAGATTTGCAGGGAAAACAGGATTTAAATCAGTGCTCTTGAATTTAGGCTCCATGCTCAATACACAAACAGCAGATCCTAATACTCAGATCTTCAAATCACTTAATGACCACAGTCCCTCATTTCTCATTTTGTCTTATAGCTAAGTTAACTATTGAAAATATAACTATATCTCTCAGTATCACATCTTCATTTAGCACAGGCTGGAATTAAGGCTGGGGTTTCAGCACTTGGTTGTGAGTATGCCAAGTAGCTGCATGCTGGAGGTGAGAAGGTTATGTTTTTGAGCCGAGCAGTCTGAGTATGTGTGGGTATTGGAATGTTTAACTGGTAAGACTTATACATTGTAGTTCTGAATATTCATATTGCTGGAAATTTCCTTGATTTTTAGTAATTGTGTTGATGCACTTGAGCTACCTTGCCTGTAATAACTTAATTAAGATTTTTGGGTGGATATGGGTAAAGTAAACTTTTCTCATTATAAACCCTGACTATAAATATCTGACTAAAATTGGCATTGAATAAGTCAGACAGATGTTACTTTTGGGTAACCCTGACAATAGTAATGGGAAATTTGGGGGAAAACTTTAGATTTGTTACATCAACTGCATCAAAGTTCTGAATTTGCAGTTTAATAGGAAGAGCTTTCTCAAATCCAAAGGTGATAGCCCAATTTTGTACCAGGTGATAGGATATACATTATCCAGAATACAGGGCAGAAGCTTTGCAGGAAAGCTGGTGAACCACTGCAGGAATTCATTAATCTCTTGTTGAAAATCGAGACACTCGTGAGTTCCTGAAAATAGTGCAAATGCTTGTTAAATGCAGCTGTGAGAACCCATGGTGAGATGCGTTAATGAAGCTATGTTTGCGCCCAATAACAACCTCATTAACATCTGTCAGCATTGTAGGACTTTAACATTAAATGGCACAAAGCTTTTTATATGCATGCATGCTACAACTTTAATGAAACTGGATTGACAGTTCAAGCTGGTATTATGGCTTCCTTAGCAGTTTGTTATTATGAGCACAAATTTGAATTTCAATCTGATAAACAAACAATGCTTCAGGTTTCTCATGAGCTAGATATTCCCTAAATAAAATCTTATTAATGGTCTTTTTTATTCCTTCACAAAAGTATTACATCTTCCTGCAGAAGCAAGGACAGTCCTAGGCATAAAACAGCCATTTTGTAGCTGTCATATATTCACTGGGTGAAATGTTCACAAAATCCTTTTGAGAGGTCGTATGCTACTTCCAATGTTAAATGTTTACCTCTGGTGCAATGTAGTCTGGAGTGCCGCAGAATGTCCTCGTTGTTACTCCATCTGCCATATGTTCTTTGCACATCCCAAAATCTGCAATCTTTATGTGTCCTTCTGAATCCAGCATCACATTATCTAATTTCAGATCTCTATGAAGAATCATAGTAATTTAATATTAATAGTTATACCAACTAGGCCACCAAAGATGTCATCTTACATCAGTTTCATTACTGAATATTATGTGTTTTTTATATATACGTGTATATATGTGTGTGTGTATATATGTGTGTGTGTAGGGTGGACAGAGGGGGATCTTCCAGATGATGCCTTAAAAACAGGAAGTTTTTTCTGTGTGTTCTGTGTGGACATTAAAGATCCCATGGCATCTTTCATAAATGTAGGGGTTTGTTCAAGAGTTCATCAGCCGTATCATCCCCCTTGGGTGTGCTGCTCCACAGAAGTGGCTGCATTTCATCATGTAGTATACAGTTTGTGAAGCACTTTGGCTGGAAGGTGATACTTCAGCCATGAAACAATACAGCCAAGCAGTATGTCTCGGGGAAGAACAGGAGGAGAGGCCAAGGGGGGCTTCACGGGAGTAGTATAAAAATGGATAGTAAGATGAAGTTTTTTCACGAAGACCAAAAAGTCATATTACAGATTAAGCAACACCACATAAATGCTGCACTGCCAATGGAATGTCATGTGACCACAAATGGGAGGAGAGGTATGCATGGGATACTCTCTACTAAGGTGTTGAATACACTATGAAAAAGTTTGAGGATCACTGCTCTAAGTCAACCTTCTAAACTAGTAATGAACAAGTAACCACTTAATTAAAGGTCAGCGTTCAACAAAATGAAAATGGAATTGTTCCTCAAATTAAAATCAGAAGGTAGAATTGCTCATTAGGCCAATGTTTTTTGCTTTGCTGTCTGACCAATATTGTCTGATGCCCTTGAGTCAAAGCTTTCAGTCTGTACTATTCGCAGGATCCCATTATGCATTAAAGTACTATGCCCTTCTTGATTCAGCTGTCTTTTACATTTGTCTTTGCATTTTAAAATCTTCGTTCATAAAATATATGGCAGGCTAACAATGCTAAATTCCTAATTGGCAGTGTTCTTATGTTCAATGTTTTATATCTGCAGAAATGTGTGGGCACTGAATTATTATAGGGTCACACAAGGTACACCTAGAGCATTATAACTCAACTACACTGATGTTGTAGACTATATATAACAAATACAGGAATGCAATCTCTCTCTCTCTCTCTCTCACACACACACACCCTTTTACATAAACATATGCTTTAGAACACATGAATGTATGCAATGCAATAAGATATAACAAACGTTTTGGACTCAAGTGTTTTCAATTGAAGGCTGCAGAGTGCAGATGTCAACATATCTAAGATACGCAGTCACCCTTAGTTAAAGGAACATCACCGACAAAACAATGAAGTTTAGTTATTAACACCAAATTGACTCTAAATTGATTTTAAAATACTGTAAATAGCCGAACACATCAGTCTCTCCAGGGTTTTAATAGGAACGACTTGTGTCAGTTAGTACTCACCTATAAACAATTCCTCTTTTATGGAGAAAGAAGAGCCCAATTGAAATCTCAGCTGCATAAAACCTGTAAGAACAGAATTTCAGATTTCTTATCTTCCGCGTATGATTTTCCTCTGCAGAAATATATTTGAAACTCACCACACCAAAGAATTAAAGCAAAAGCGTACGAGAAACTATTGCATTCATGTATATATATAAAGCAGTAAAGATAACATCCTGCATCAACTTGATTTTCATAATCATTTATGAAGTGTTTGAGGATAATATTTTGACAAGACAGGGTAAAAAAATTGGGCATTTCTTCCTAAATTAAGAAGCACAGTGCAACTATGACATGGCAGTTATGTGGTAAGTAATCTGACTGGATAGGTCATTCCTCTCAATGCCTGATCATATCAGACCATTTATGATTCATCATGCTGATTAATTTACATTGAGATTCACACATCATTAAAATAATTTATAAAAATATTGTTACTCTATACAAATGTTAATGGATTAATTACTTCAAGCTAATTGAACTGATTGCCATAGACAATGCAATGGCCAAAAGTAGTTTAAGTATATACAATATTGATGAGCTTTTGAAGCCAGAGTCACTGCAGAGCTGAGCCAATTACATGAAGGCGGCCAGTAAAAAAACAAGATGGATGATTACGTTTAATAAAAAGGAAAAGGCAGCCTAGCTCTTAAAATTCTGGTTCAGAATTGTTTTTAGTCTCTTTGGAACGTTTGCCAACACAGACCTTGGGGCAGGCCATCAGATAAAATAAATAAATGGAGATATCCTATCTTCTAGAACTGGAAGGGATGGTCATTGAGTCCAGCCCCCTGCCCTCTCTAGCAGGACCAAGTACTGATTTTGCCCCAGATCCCTAAGTGGCCCCCTCAAGGACTGAACTCACAACCCTGGGTTTAGCAGGCCAATGCTCAAACCACCGAGCTATCCCTCCCCCCAGAGGGGGTACAATGTCATAGCACCACAGAAGTCAATGGAGCTGTGGCAATCTATACCAGCTGGAAATCAATGGAGCTATGCACATTTACATCAGCTGAGGATCTGACCCATGAGATGACTCTGGTTTTATTTAGTACTTAGTCAGGTCATGCTTACATTTTTGTCTTTTATGGGTCATATATTTAAAATTAAGGTTTTTTTAATGACTCTTACTTGATGATTTTAACCATACTGAGCACGTTTCAACTTAACAGCTATTTTTCTGCATTTTTAAAAACAGGACAGGTCACACTTTATATTAAGGTTTAATGGATAAACTGTTTACAAAATGCTAATAAATGATTAATAGACATTAGAAGCATGTTACAAACTTGAGTAGTACATTTTAAAGAAAAACACATCAGAAGGTGTTACAGATGGTTAGCAACCTATTGATCTGTTGGATGTCATAACAATATATCACAATTGATTAACTATTTATTAAAACATCTATTAGTGTAGTAACTTTTAAAACTATCTATAAATTGAACCTTAATATAAAGTGTGACCACAGTATCTATCACTAGATATGCATTAAATTAAGCTTAATTATATAGTAAATGCGGAATCTGTTTCTTGTGTCTCTCTCAGTGTTGTTCATTTAGTGTGAATTGTTAATAGCCATATTGTACTCCTGTTTACTTGTTGCCATTGATTTTAAAATTATTTTTCAAGGTTATGCTATCACCTGCAATGTGCGCTGTATGTTTAGACCAGCAGGCCAACAAAGTTTTTATTATACTGAATAAAAAGATGACAGTCCTAATTTATATATAATACTGTACATACTGGACAAATCTGATCCATCTGCTGCAGTGTAAAATTAGTAATGACTTTATTTAAATCAACAAACACTCACACTGCCTGTGGCTCCTTAAATTTTCCTACTTGCTGAATGTGATACATGAGGTCACCACCATTCACATACTCCATAACAAAGTACAGACGATCCTAGAACATAGTATTAAAAAGGTAAACACATTAGGCATAAGGAGTGATGTATTGCCCAATAGAATGTATTATTAAAAAGGTAAACTCATTAGGCACGGACAGTGATGAATTCTCCAGTAGAGGTCACTACTGTAAAGATTCTAATACAAAACAATCTTAAAAATTAGTCTATATATTCTGCACATTATGGCAAAAATAATTTTATAGATCAGGAAACGGAAATAGAATGACTTATAGATGTTGCAAGAGTCAGTGCCAGGCTGGAACTCCATTCAGCCTTGCCAATTTTAGGGATGCAAGTTTATTTCTTATTATTCGTATTACAGAAGTGCCCATAATGTTACAAGTACTGTTCATACAGACAGGAAGACATAGCTAAGCCCAAGAGCTCATGTTTTTTAAGACAACAAAAAATTCTATAGATGGTTGGAAATTCTTGCCTTGTGAAGATGGGCATTTCCAAACCTATGTTGTAACATTTTCCCTAGGAAGACATGGAAGATGAAAGTGCACCTGATTTTAAAAGAAGGCAACAAGAAAACTATGAACATGATTTTAGAAAACTGGGTTCATGAGTCTTGATATTGAATTGGCCAACTCCAAATCATTTTTGTCCCAAACACCCTATTTCAGCAAAAGGCAGTTTTAAGCATTTTGGAGGGAGAATTTTCTCGCAGTGTTAAAATGGCTTTGGCCAAAATGTACAAACCCGGGTGTCTGAAATTAGACATTTAGGGTAACATTTTCAAAATACCTAAGTGACTTAGAGTGTTCAGTTCAGATTGGTAGCTGAATGTTTCACCATTGGATGGTGAAAAGATGATGCAAAATGAGACCTCATTCTTGCAAAGCCTTATGCTTGTATGTAAAATTACACACTCATTGTACACGTGCTTAAATCTTTGCAGTTTTGGGGCTTGACTTTAGATGTCTTTATCTAAGTAGACAAATGTCCATGCCACAAAAAACAGCACTACATTTAGAATTAATTGTAATTAATTGTAACTACCGCTGACCTTTCCCTGTGAACTAAAACATGTTCTGATGGGACCGTCTTCTGACATGTAGTATCATTTTCTGGTCCTTATATCACCAACACAAACTCCATAGGTGAACCTTTTTGTATATTACATGCTACTGTTGGTATCACAGCCTTAGGGGAAGTAAAAAGCACTCACCAACTACCATCCTAGCTTCAGCCTCCTTATCATAGGGGTACCAGGGAACCAAATTAACTATGTCAATATATTAATAAATAAATAATTATCTCAGATTACTGGGGCATTAAGGCCCCAATCAAGCAGAGTACTTAAGCACATGCTTAACTTGAATAATATGAAAAGTCCCACTGACATAACCGAGTTCTTATATACAGAAAGAGAAAAGCTCTGTATAACTAGTTGCTGTAGAATACTTCTAAAGATCTATTTATTTTATTATTATGGATTTTCCTGATTTCACAGGGTATCTATTTCTTTACATTTTTCTGTGTAAAGCATCCATGAGATCTGCAAGTTGAAGATAATAAATGTTGCTGAAATAATAAAATATATGAGAGTGTTATCTTAGCAGAAGATTAAACTGAAAGAAGTGGAGGAGTGGGAAAGGACAGACATCACGTACAACTGTTTGGAAGCAAGAATGCAGCTGTGTTAGGAAAGGTGGCTTATCTTGCAGTGCTAGGACTCGTTTTTCAATCATGGTACATTCCACATCATCATCCTGAATCACCACATCTTTTTTCAATATTTTGACTGCATACAGCTCCTCCGTCCCCTTCCTGTCTGCCAGCATCACCTGCACAAAGAGAAATGACAGGCTGAAAATCTCCCTCGCTGGCAGAGAATGGAGGTGACTCACAGGCCCCGAGAAAGATGTAAATGGCACACCAGCTTCCCATTTTACCAGCACTTACTGACTTGGCCTGAAGCTCTAAAAATATCATGATTACTCACTGATTACAAGGAGCTGTACTATCACTTCAAAAATGGTGTTTACACTAACACCTGTGCCAGTGCTCCCAGATAATCACGGGCTCCTCTCCTAATGGCCAACAAAATGAAAGACCCCACTTGAATTCCTCCATAAAATGCACTTTTATTATAAAACCACTTGTTAAAACAGCCAGAAAAACAGCAGCACCTTTAGTGGGTTAACAGTTTTCCCTGCATTTCTCATTCCTGACGTTTCCCAAGTATTCATTCCTACTGCATGACGACAACTTTCACAAATGGCTTTGTGACCTACGTAACAGCTCTATCATCATCATCCCCACCACCAAAGATGAGCCTGAATCTCCTTGAATTTTGGGGAAGGTCAGATCTGGATTCTTGAGCCCAGCTCTGTATGGAAAACCCGGAATTCCTAACATCATTTAAAATTTAAGAACTCAAAGCATTCAAGTTTTGCAACTCAATGCCCATATGAGTGCCTAAGGGCATAAACTAAGCATCTCTGGACTTAAGTGGCATGTCCACACTTAAGTGACAGATATAGAATTTGAATGTCTATTATACCACCCAGGCTTGAAAATTGGCTCAAAAATGTGGAACATCAAGACAGCGGACGGTCCAATTCTGGACATTTCATATACTGGAAAATAAATATTCCCCCCCATACCACCTTTTTGCAGTTAATTATCAGTACAAAAATAATCATTTTCATACATATAAAAATCTTCTACTGTACTGGTAGGTCTTCACTGCAGGTTATTAGATGTAAGAATAATCAAGATAACTATACTTGTATACTATGTAGAGACGAGGTCTAAAAACTGAATCCCTAAAATCTGCAGCAAATGCATACAATGGCATTTTCCTGCTCTTCATTTAATAGATTCATAGATTTTATGGCTGGAAGGGTTCAATTAATCTGTATTTCTGCACAGCACAGGCCACAGATTTTTACTCAGTAATTCCTGCATCTACCCTACAACTTATGGTTGAAATAGACAAGCATCTCTTTTAGAAAAAAACAGCCAGTCTTAATTTAAAGATTCCAAATAATGGAGAATTTACCACATCTTGGGGTAATCTGTTCCAGTGGTTGATTACCCTCATTTAAAAAATCTGCATTTTATAAACGACAGCTCATAGGAGGACAACTCTCAGTTCATTTCTATTATTAAAAATAAGCAGGTGGAACTGACTTTCAAGGTTTCTTACCTTTCCAAAGCTCCCCTTCCCAAGCACCATGAGAAAGTTGAAATCTGTCAGCTTCACATGGTCCAGGTTGTTGGATGGTATATTGGAAATCCTGTCTTCTACTGGAGTAATGACTTTGTGACCAGCTGGTCCAAGTCTGGCTTTCTAAAGAAGTAAAGAATATTGAAGTGAGACGTTTAACCTGCTTACCCAGTAAAATGAAAGATTAGAAGAATGACGTTCAGTTGTAGATGACTAATTTGAAGCTGGATTCTCAGGAGAAAGGCTGCATAACAAAAGTTGCACAGACACAAATTCAAAGACTCATTCCAACAACACTTTTGTCATTATTAAGTGAAACAAAGTGGTAAACTGTGTAAGTGTCTAACCAGATAAAAGCAGATACACTAATCTGGTTAACAGAAGAAAATCAACACAAAAAACAAGCAAAAATCATTATTTTTATGCCATAAGCAGGCTAATCAGTGATTTTTGTTTTTAAATATAAAAGGTGCTCTTTATAAATGTCATACTGTAATGTTACTAGTGTACCTTAGGATATAAGAGAAACTGTTTATATACATTCGCTTTTAAAATGTCATATGGAAGTTCACTCTTTGTAGCAGACTAATCTGTGATTTTTGTTTTTAAATATAAAAGGTGCTCTTTAAAAATGTCATACTGTAATGTTACTAGTGTACCTTAGGATATAAGAGAAAGTGTTTATATACATTCTCTTTTAAAATGTCATACGCAAGTTCACTCTTCATAGCAAGAGTTAGCCTGTGACATGCATTATGAAAAATAACCTCCACTTTGAAAACCTAACATATTATGACAATCAGTGTTGATGAGTATGGCCACTTTTGAACTGGCATTACAATCAACTTTGATTTTCAATCAAGTGTTGATGGGGGAGGGGGGGGGGGAAGGGGGAAATGCTACATAAAAAAAAAGTTTCTCTTGGTGACATAGTGTAGTTCATATTTTGCAGAAGGTTGCAACAGTCCGAGTGCGGCTACGTCTTCACTACCCGCCGGGAATCGGCGGGTAGAAATCGATCTCTCGGGGATCGAATTATCGCGTCTCGTCGGGACGCAACAATCGATCCCCGAATCGACGCTTGTACTCCACCAGCGCAGGTAGGAGTAAGCACCGTCGACGGGGAGCCGCGGAGGTCGATTTGCCACCGTCCTCACAGCGGGGTAAGTCGGCTCGGATACATCGAATTCAGCTACGCTATTTGCGTATCTTAAATCGACCCCCCCCCCCCCCCCCGTAGTGAGGATGTAGTCTGAGTAAATCAGATGAGATACTGTAAATAACATATGTAAGCTGCATTTCAAACGTCACAAAGTTAGGAAAAAATTAAGTCTCACCAAATGATAATTCAGAGCTATAATAGCTCAATGACCCCCTTTGCTTAAAACTTATCCTACACACCAGCAGTGAAGCCAAGAGGGTTTAAAATTGGCATTATATACAGATTTTAGTGTTCTCTCTAAACTATATGAAGACCCATTGTGCTGGACTGTCTAAATAATCCTAACTGCTCATACTCTGCTTTCTCTCTCCAAGCACTTTACAAACATAGTAGTTACTCCTAATGCCATATCTGGAATGTACAGTAATTATGTATTACCACCATTTCACAGATAACTTCTCTGTGCGTTGGTTCCCTTAAGTCACTTGTCCAAAATCAACCAGTAAGTCAGTGCTAAAGCCTGGGTTTGAACTCACCCTGTGTGCTCCCCCTAGAAATTTGAAGATACATTCCCCCCCCCCTCTTTTATTTTAGGCATTTCACTTAACAGAAATCAAATACTCCCTCACCTCTTGATAGTGAGTATGCCCTTTCATACACATGAAAAAAGGTATACTCTGCTGGTATATACACATGATGTTTTCCGCTTATGTTAATAATGGAGTTTAACATTAACATGGCATTTCCAGTTTCTTCCTTTATTATAATTAGCTATTTGTATGGCAGTAGCACCCAGAGACACCAATGAGGATCAGGGCTCCATTGTGCTAGGTACCATAAAAACACATAGTAAGAGACAGTCCCTGCCCCACATACCTCGCAGTCAAGTCCCTGTTCCTCAATGCATTGCTCATGGGCAGACCTCTGTGCTGGCACAAATTCCCCTGGACTTCAATAGGGCTTTGTATGTGCACAGTCTACCTCTGAACAATACCTGGCACGACTGAGATGCTAACAAACAGGTTGTAAACTAAAATCTTATGTTTATACAAGGTAACAGGTGTTTAATCATATCCCTTTCTCCATCACTATAGACTTTCTGGATATTCTGATGCATGTCCCAGAAAGGGGCCTAAACAACAAAATATTTTTATGTATAAGGAGCAGGTTAAGTGTCCATATTTACAAAAGGCAGATGACTTCTAGCCAGACACAGAGTGAGCAGCATCCGAGGTTTCCAAGTTGCTTTGCTTTTCAAACAATATTCCAGTGAAATGCTGCAGCTTCTCTCCTTGCACATCTGGGTCCTTTACACCCACTCTCATCCCTGAGGCTGTGAACACTATATTTGGCACTCCTATCATTCTGAGTTACTCCAAAGATTTGGTCCATAATATTTGTTTTTAGGACAAAAACCTAAGACTCATTTATATATAAATAGGTGCTTTATTAACAAATGCTCTAGCTTGCCTTCCAAGATAACTGTAAAAAGTTAATTGATAAGCTTCTGTGCCCTCCGCTGGCTACAAAGCAGAATTGCAGAACACACTGTAGTTTCTCCTTAGTAGTAACTATGGGGCATATTTAATTGTCAAGATCAAACAGGCAACTGTTACAAGAAACAGCATTAAAGATGGAAAAGACTTGTTTGGTCACCCTGAGAGAGTAGACTGGTTCTTGTATTAGTATTAGTAGTAGTAATAGATATGCTAAATATCTAAAATCATCAGCAGGCGGAGGAAGCTCACTTTCCAACTCCTTAAATGAGCTAAGTAGCTGCTTTCTGAGGTTGAGGACATTTTTCTTCTAAAAAACAGAAAATGATAATCTATTAGCAAATTGATATCTTTCTAGCTGTGAAGGTAATCATCTGAACATAAATAGAAACAGTTATTCAGGTTATTGAATACAGAGCAGTAGGCAATGTACAATTTATCATAGTTTAAAGATGCACATGCATATTGTACCTGTAATATTTTTTAAATGTGAAATTACCCAAGTCATAGATGCTTAATGTAACTGTTCTATTTTGACCACAGATGACACAATGATCTCATAAATAAAATCAGTATGTACTGTAGCATTTTAGATTATTTTAACTGAAAAAAACTACAAATATTCTGGGATATGGGGTGTAGAAGAAAATAAATGGATTGTTTGGGGTTAACAGGTGAAAAATGCTTGGTAACCTCAATATGGTGGTTTTAAGAAAGTTTGGGGAGAAGGTCTTTGTAAATGCTCTTCAGGCTTCATAGTGGGAAACACAGTTTTTGTAAAATTTGCCTTTTACTACAGCAAGAAAATGAAGGTGAAATCCAGATTTTCCACTTTTCACTAACCCGCAAAACCTGGGCTTTCTGTAAGGTTTGCAACTGCGGTGTCTTGTACAAGGCTGCAAGTATCATCTGTTTTGTGCGACCTACCCAGGCACCAGAAAGTGTATCGAATGCCGTTTAACATTTGGTCACACCTGAAGCCACTAAAAGAGAGCCCTGATCTTAGAGGTATTATCCATGCCATGCTACAGCACGTGCATGGGGCAAAAGGAGTAACTCTGGGTACAGACACTTTGGCGTTTAGGTAAGCACAAGGTAAAGGACTCCTGAACAAAAGCAGACTGGATTGTTCCTAGGCCTGAATCATTCAATCAGGGCCGGCTCCAGGCACCAGCCCAGCAAGCCGGTGCTTGGGGCAGCCAAGGGGAAGGGGCGGCACGATGGGCTCTTCGGCGGCAAATCCCTCGGTCCCTCTCGCAATCGCGGCTTTTTTTTTTTTTCCCCCGACGCTTGGGGCGGCAAAAACCCTGGAGCCGGCCCTGCATTCAATGAAGGGGTATAAATCAGAATGGCCTAAATAACCTAATGACAAGTACCCATTAAAAGATCTGCAGTGCCCTTCCACCTGGGCCAACATTACAACAGTCTGTGCATACGGGCCAATCTAAAAAAAAGCCTTCCATGTGCAGCACAGAGGAAAATCGGTGCATCTGAATCTTTGTTGTTGCCTTTTGGTTAAAAGTGTATCACCAGGGTACAATGCAAACTTCACGGCTGGGGAACCGCTTTTTGAAGCAATGACGCAGTCACTGACTTAAACCAAACATTTCAAGGATGACCTATTTGTAGTGCAGCCCAACGTGAAATGTCAAGGTTCTGTTGCAGTGTATTCCTATCACTTATTTGGACATAGAAAACGGTCTTCTTTCTCAGCTCTATTCACAGACACTGCCAGTGATACCAGAACAAAATAGGGTTGTTTCCATGGGAACAAAATCATAAAAGCTCTATGAAGAACCTCCAGTCTAAAACAGTAAAAACAAATTTTTGATGGGAAATTGCACCGCCAGTATAAGTGGAAAGAACTAACACCTCAACAGCTCTTCAGAGTCAGCTTCTATAATGTTGCATGTGGTTAAATTTATCCTGGAGATGGGCCCAAACCAAAAGTTTTACATTTCACAGAATTAGTATCGGAACTTTGTGATCACTCAGCCCCACCACTAAAGTATTCCTGTTTTGTTTATATGCATCTTAGTCAACAGATTTAAAAACCACACCGAAAGCCTTACATCTTGCCTTTAAAACGATAAGAAGAGTATTTTAACTTTGTAGTTAACAATTTCAATAGTTTCTTAAAAAAGCTGAAAGGGATCTGCAGGATGGCAGTTCACTTTTCAGTGGCTACTACAGACAATTTAGCAGCTTTTTCATTGGGATGAACAGCAATTAATACAGCTTTGTTAGGTATTATTAAATTATTCATTATATAGTAATCAGAGTTATTTCTTATTGTCACTTCCTTATCACTTCAATACCTACATGTCATGCAAACAGGGGTGGGAGCAGGATCCACTAATGGTCAGTAAGTAACAATTTCAATGGAACTTAGCTTCTTATCCCAGGTGACACATGGCACACCCATTTCTGAATGTAAGAGAAAGCCTTCCTCATACCGGCTCTGC